GTGCCGTTTCTTAGCCAACAGCTTGCAAGATCTATTTTTTTTGGTCAACTAGGTTCAAACAAAAAATTAAGTAAGTTAAGATTTTTATAACCAGTTAAAAAAAAGTCAAATGTATAGATGGCAAAAAAAGCAAACCAGTTTAAAACTTTAAGACTTTTTGGAAGTCAATCTTAGTTTAATCTAACACTATGTGAGAAGCTTAAATTATGCTGAAAGATCTTTTCAAGACTCATATACTGTTATTGATAATTAAGTTCAGTAAAGTTTTTCAAAATTATGTTATATTTTATTACATACCAAATCATACCACCAGGTTTGTTCTCTATAAACGAGTGTATTACAAACTTCTTTGATAATTCCAGAGTGGTAATTTACTAAAGAAAGCTGCTGAGATTATTGAAAGTTGAATAATTGATGGACAATCTTATTGGCTTGATAACCAAAATCTATTAACAACAGTTTCCTAGCTTTTAAAATTTATTATTAATATACGAACAACTGCAGAATTTGCAGAGCTAAGAACTGAGCATTATTGCTGATACTTACCAAATGATACTCACATGCATACTAAATGAAATTAATGGTGACCGGATAAGTTGAAAAAGAATAGGATATTTAAAAGGAAAAAAAAGCAGCGAATAATTTCTGCAGATGCAACAGGCATGGTCATTTTCCAAATGTATAAAATCTTGATTAAAACAAGAAAAGAAGGTCAAAGGAGAGCAATAATTTGTATAAAAATCAAAAAAAAAAAAATAATAATAATAAAATTTCTAAAAAAAAATACATAGCAAATACTTACTGTGTGTTGCATAACAATCTGAGGTTAAGAAGCTGCATCTTCCGAGCATTAATAGTAAATTAGCTGTTTCGGACAGCCTGCAGAACTGGCTTTATTTGAAGACATAAAAAATTAAAGTGATTAAACAAGTCTAAACTGGTTGCAGAAATGATTAAATACTTCTTGACGGTCTATCTTACAGAGTATCGCCTCGGAAGAACACATTCCTTAAGTAGTTGAAGTCTTCCTGAAGGTTAACACCAGTTTGGCACCGTCAAAAAAGCAAAAAATTAAAAAACTTTCCTTAATATGTTCTCAGATAGTGTGAAAAGTAAAAAAAAGCTAAGTTAGCGTCTGATTCACAAAAATTTAAACTTTGGTAGATCTTTTTTCAACCAGCACCTTTTTTTAGCATAATTTTACCAAGAAAAAAACATCGTTTTCAATTTCTTTCTTTTGGTGTTATTTTTTTACGTCTGGGAAAAAATGATCTATCAATAAGTCTGAAAGTTTCTGAAAGCAAAAAAAACATTTTCAGCTTAATTAGTCGTCAATGTTAACAGTTAAGACTGACATACAAAAAAATTTCTTGTAGTTTATATTATTGAATTGTAGTTTATTTCTTGTAGTTTATATTATTGATAAACTACTGAAGTAAACCAATTCAGTGTTTATTAGACAGTTTAACCATTGAACAATACAGTGAATTTACAAGTGTCAAAGATGATTATCTTTGTTTTTTTTTCAAGATTATTTTTTTTGCGTAAGGTAATCACTTTTTATACATTTACAAATGTGCTTACTTACCTAAATATATATGCTGGTAATGAGAATTATTAGGAAGAGGTAAATCTGCAAAAAAAGAATAGACTTTTAAGACGTCGGTGGACTGTATTATACTGTCCTAAATATCTGTTTCTTTCAAACTTTACCAATTTTTTTCTTAACAGAATCGCCAAAGGAATGTCTCTAT